CAAGCAATGCAACAATCAGGACAACCAATTAGTATAACAGGTATAAATTATTCGTAATTCTGTAAACGTAATGTGAGAACAAGAAAAATTTCAGCTATATCGATCATAGAGAATTAAAAGAAATTTTTTTTTTTTAATTTTCTTCATAATTATGTTAATGTATATTAATGTATTAAGTATAATAAAATAAAAAAAAATTATATTTCCTATAATATTTTGTATTTTATATGATAACGTATGAAGCAGATTGCTTTTGAATGTTTTAAATCCAAATTGTTACGATATTTTTTTATTGTTTCTTAAAATTTTTAATAATGAATTATTAATGCGTTAAGTTATTAATGATCAATAAGAAATAAAAAATATACGTGAATAAGAAAATATGATGAAAATATGTTTTTATAAATCGAGTTTTAATTTCATAAAGAAGTAATTTAAAATAAATTAGCAAGTAAGTAAAATTAGTGTTTTGTAAAAATAGTTAGCTTTTATTTATAAATAAAATACATTGTGAGAAAATAATAAATTTTTGGTATTTATGTGTCTATTATTATTATCATATGTATGTTTGATATGTATGTTTGATAAATATACGCAACTGTTTCTAATTGTATGCATAAATCATAAGTTTCTAATACACAAATCAATCGCTAAAAATATAAATGACTAACTATATGAATTTGCTATAACATAAAATAATATTATATAAACGCTTCTCTATCAAATCCACGTTAGTATATATAAAGCATTGAAAAAAATCCTTTATAATGCACTCGCGGTAAATATTAATTTCCAGCTTTACGTATTGCTTAAATAGAATTATTTTATTTATATAAATAAATAATAAGGTACTTTAATTTGCTGTTAGGTGCTCAAGGCCAGCAAATAACCTTGATTCCAGCCTCAGCTTTAACGAGCATTACAGCCCAACAAGCTGGTGGAATGATCCGTGGCGTAAATGTTGGCGGGGTAATGCAACTTCAGCCGACGGGTGGCATTAATACAACTAACGGCTTCCTGCAATCTATACCGGTTCAAAATATACCCGGTTTGGGAAACATTCAGGTAATTTCAGCCGTTCAACCAACGGCGGTGCAAGCACTGCAGCCAGCGACTGCTGCGCCGACGGTCCATTTAGAGAGCGGCACCGATTCCAAGTGGCAGATCCTTCAGACAATTCAATCGAATAACGCGGCGATTGCGACGCAACAACAAGCTCAACAACAGCAGCAACAGCAAGTCCAAGTACAACAGCAGCAGCAACAGAGCCAACAGCAACACATAAGCAACGCTACGGCAAGTGGAGACGATACGGGCAAACTGCATAGGCGAAGAGTCGCTTGCACTTGTCCAAACTGCGGCGACGGCGACAGGTGATTGTTCTTTTTTCTTTTTCTTTTTTTTTTTTCTTTTCTTTTTGCATTCTACTGCAGTTTTGCACAACTCTGAAGAATCTCTATTTTATATCAAGAAAATAAAATTTTAGATAGCTTTTAATTTCTCCTATTACGATTAACTTCTTTCATCATAGCCTTACGAACATTATTAAAAACAAAGGCCAAATTATACGAAAGCTTCTTAAAAATGTTCAAATACTTGAAATTTAAAATTAGAATTTTATTATTTTATTTTTAAAATAGAAATTCGTCGCAAGCATTGCCATTGCGAATAAACGAATCCTTAACTCTGTTGATAATAATATAATTACGTTTGAAGTCAGAGAGTATTGTCGATATGCCGATTTCTCGATTATTATGAAGAATTAGGAACGATAAGATAAGCCAAAAAGCATATTGAATAACAATGTATGAAATTGTAATGTTGTAGGAACCGAGACATGACGCGTAAGCGACAGCACGTCTGCCACATTCCTGGCTGCAGTAAAGTCTACGGCAAGACATCGCATTTGCGAGCTCACTTGAGATGGCACACGGGTGAACGACCGTTTGTCTGCAGTTGGATATTCTGTAATAAAAAATTTACACGTTCGGATGAACTGCAGCGACATAGGCGTACACATACTGGTGAAAAGAGATTCCAGTGTCCAGAATGTACCAAGAGGTTCATGCGCTCCGACCATCTAACTAAGCACATCAAAACTCATATGAAAATTCGCAGCACTGTAAGTTTCATGAAAATTTTATTTTACTTTGTTTTTCCATTCTTTATGGAATCGCGATACTTTACGTGGTAAAGGATCAAGTGCTATAACTACTAAACTTGTGCAAATTCAATCGTCGCCCATTATTGCCTTAACAACGAAAGAATAAAATTAAATAGCTATTAGTATTTAAAGGATATATATATATATATATATATATATATATATATGGTCTATTTTTTGGTTTGACTTTATAGGAATTTTAAATAATAAATAAATAAATAAAGTTGACTATGTATAAATTAAATGTGATGACAAATTTATAGTGAGATACAAAGCACAATTATATAGTACGAAATGCATAGTGAAAAATTTACTTCCTAAAGACATTACAATGGTTATTTATTGTTTGATTTTTATAATTTTAAAACTTTCTATATATATATATATATATATATATATTTTTTTTTTTTTTTTTTTTTTTTTTTTTTTTTGAATAAAATCTATAATCTGATAATAATTTATTAATTATAAAAATTTGAATGTTTCTTTGACATTCGAGGCATTGAATTATTAATTTTTTTAATGAATTTTTATTATATAATGACGTCCATTATTGGTCGTCTCGGCTTTATTACTAATTATTTTATTGTATTTTATGCTTATTTTACCATTTATTTTGTAAATATTAAAATATACTTTCTTACATCGATGTATCTCTATGACTACTTATTATTTGCCGAAATAGGCTAATGTTTGAAATTAATTTCGATTTTATTTTATAGTGATAAGTGTAGTTTTGACTAACTTTTCTTTAATTTTTTTTCTTTCTTTTTTTATTTTTTTTTTAAATACGCATATATATATATATATATTATTGCTTTCTGTTGATTAATGAATTACTTCATTATCGATTTCTTTTTTCTATTTTGAAAATTTGTTACATTGAGTCTATACGTTTTGTTTTATTTAAGTTTAAAACAAAACAAATCCTATTTAATTTTTTAATACGACAATTATCAAATGCAATATAACTAAAGTGTGCATTTGTCTTCAATAATAATATATTATGAACTTTATCATTTCTTACATTACATTATTAATCTATCGATTCATTTATTTACATTAAAAGATTAAAAAAAAAAAATTCCATTTACCATTATTATGCGATTAGAATCATAATTGCGCAAATTATGGGGTTTTTTTTTTTCACATTTTCCTAAGACAAAAACCATTCGTTATCTATCGTTAAAAAAACGTATTTGGATAAATAAATATGTATTTTATTGCTTCAGGAAGCGGCGACATCCACGCAGGAAGGATCCTCGGATAGCCAGTCTTCGAACGAGGATAAAATCATTATAGCCTTCCACAAGGAGACAGAGCAGACGGAGCTTGTGTTGAGTGATCCACTAGAGGTTATCGATAATCAAGCGACGAATCATGTCTCGAATGAATAAATATTCTTTTCTCCTGGTGAAGAAATTTCTTTAGCAATTTATTGAACGGTGTTATATCGAATCTGGTATCGAGCAAATATGAAATTCAAATTTTTACTCGCGCTAACTTGAGTCATAATCATCTACGTAAACCAAAATCTATAATTTTTGCTTATTATCGATTACTTACACAAATGGTAATTTTAATCAATAACGACCATAGTATTGTTTATATTTAAGTTTTGCAATTAATAGATTAGAGCTGGACAATATTATAATTCTTTTCGTTGTTTATTTAAATTTTGTTTATACAGTTATTATTGTGTTAAAGGAATCAATTTTTATAAGAATTCGTTTGTAAATATTGTCGAGCAATTATTTTTCATAATTATTGAGAAAAATGTAAATTCAAATGCGATAATAATTTTTTTCACCAGGATATACTTCGCAATTTATTTAATTCCAGAATTTTGGAATTAAAACGCGCGAAGTTAAACTAGTCTCATTGGTCAAATTTCTAAGGATTACACCAGATAATGTGATATATTTTTTTGTGCACATACATTTATATTTTATAAAGATTAGATTTTATATTATAGCGCTTATATATATATATATATATATATATATATATATATATATAAATATTTATATAATTTTCATCTATAAAACTCTGTATTATTTTGTATTATTCTGCATGAAAATTAAATATAAAATTTTACGTTCTATTTTAGTATTAACTAGATATGTAAAATGTATTTTGCATCAGAAAGATACACAAGTCTGGTAATAATCATTGAAAATAATGTATAAATTAAAAATGTATATCTTAAATCAGGGATTTTTTTAAATATCTGCATATAACATTGTCTATGGGAATTGCTATAAATAATAGTAGATAGGCAATATCTATATTTTTATAATGAAAATTTTGTAAAAAAAAAAATGTATATACATTGCAAATAGTGTACAGAATTATAAAGATTTTTTTGCACAAAATATTTACACTTTTTGACGTTTTTCAATGGTATGATAGTGCGATTTTACTCTGAAACTCTTTTTCTTTACAGAGCAATTATGAAAAATCTATATACTATGTGTTGTATTAATATCCATTTCCCATTGAATGGTTAAAAAGAATGAAAGGAAAAAGTACTGAATATTGTTAAATAAAATAATATATTGTTATAAAAATAAAAAAAATTACATTAACATGAACAAATAGAAATAATTATTTTTTCAAACAACATTCCTTTGGCTAATGAAAATAAATTATCTATTTTATTAAATTTTTATTACTTTTAATATTAACATATTGCAAAAATACATAAATAATTATGGATATAATATATCATTGCACTGACAATATGCAAAAATCAATTGTTTCATTCATTAACTATATGAAAACTTAGAATAGAAATTAGTTCTTCGGCCTTACAAAAGTGTTTAATTAAATTATAACATTTTATAGAAATGGCATGATAAATTTAATTATCGTGATAGGAAGTCTTTTAACATTAGCAATCCTTACTTATTACCATGTCGAGATAAAAATATTTGATAAATTAGAAATTTATTACATATATTAATTAAACCTTTATCGTTTCTTGTTTATTTGCAAGTTTTTTCTTCTCGTATTTTCTAAAATACACGCTTTTTAGATGCAAATTTAAGATCTAGTATACTTTCCCCAAATGTGCAGCATAAAAACAGATGCAATAAAAAGAAGCGACATCACTAAAACAGGTACTGGCCCTCTAGAAAATTATTTAAAATAGTTAAAAAATATAAATCGGATGGAAGCTAATGGAAATAATTAGTTTTGAGAATTCACGTTCTAAATTATTTTTAATAAAATTCATTATAAAATTGAGACTTCGATATACTATCTATATCTTTGATACTGAATTGAGATTTTTTAAATTTTTTTCATAAAAATAAAAAATTCATATTCGAGTCTATTATCAAAACATACTCACACTTTGATTCCTGGTGAATCGTCTGTATAAAATCTCCACATACCACCAGAGTTAGTTCCGGTGTTACGATTTCGAACAGATGTTGCTGGTGTACTTTTACGTTGCCTTACAGCACCTCCTAATCCAGTACGAGAGGCAACTGCCTTACTTGGTGAACGACTACTCGATCCAACGCTAATAGAACTAGCCGAAGGTAATGGCTGTTAAACAAATGAAACAAACAGTAGTTTTTTAACTCATACGTTAACTATTTTTTAATGGATATAATGGAAAACTAACTGTATGATGTCAATTTAAAAATAAAAGCATTGCAAAGTATTTATTTTTATATAAAATTAATTAAACCAAATAGGAGATTAGACAATTTGATGTTGTATTACGATTTTATTAATTTTCACTTAGTTTGTGTGTGCGATGCGCAGCAGTTAATTTTTTACAAAAGGTTCTGAATTTTTATTTAACATCTTTAAAATAATTTTAATATATATATATAAAAATATATATGCAAAATGTCTATAAAAATTATTATGACTTTTTTTATTTTTAATAACATAGACAATTAAAACATACTTTTAATATTTTTTTTTGTATGTACTGCTTAAAATGTACAAATCTTAATGATAATTATAATAGACTGAAATATAATATTAAGATTATTTAAAATAGCTTCATAAATTAACAAGCGGCTATTAATTTAATAAGCATTTAACAATTATTATTATTATTATTATTATTATTATTATTATTATTATTATAAGGATAATAACAATGATGTAGACATCTAAAATTATATAAAAATTTAAATATAGGTTGGAGCATTAATATTAAAAAGATGAAATTGCATTGTCTTAAAGTCAGTCATACGTATATCAATTGTCAATTGGTTTATAATATAATTGAATTTGTTTTGCAAATAAATAAATAACATACCATTTTGAGAGTGATATTTATTACAGATGAGCGTTAAAATCCTTTTCGTTAAAATCGAGTTTTCAGTGGTGAAAAAAAGAAAATGAACAGCAGGTAGTCAGCAATATTGGAAGCACGTTAGCAAGTCAATGCATAATCGGTAAAAATAAAAAAAATTTGTTGTTATTATTATTATCCAGTCGGTAATTATAAATTAATTCGTAGTTACTACTCACCTGTTGCTATTGTGCGAAGCACTTTTGTGTTACGTAGAATTATAATGTTTTAACCACTCAAACGTACGCTACCTGGACACTGATGATATATCCAACATCTACGTGTCAGGTCAAAACTAAGAATGGTGGACTTCACGCTATAGTTAAACCAAAAATACGTGTATTTAATATTGCTGGTATTGGGTTCCAGGAGAGTATACTATAGATACGTCGGCGATCAGCGTCATCTTACGGCTTTGGCCCAGAAATACTAAATCCATGACGGTCACATGTCATGGCTCTTGGCTTAAAACGATCAATTTTTTATTATAAAATCGAAGCTCGATAATTATTTACAATAATAATCCAATTATAAATATTTCTGTATCAGGATATAGACACGGTTCTAACAAAATAACTCAAAACAAATAATTTCTGTAACATAATATATAAAAATAAAAAATAAAAATAAAAAATTTTAAAATTTTCACGATTACGTAGTAATTGAATCGTACTCGTTTAGAAAAAAAAAAAAGAAATCTTTTATCTCGTTCGCCGAACACTTAATTTTGCCGACTATAGTTGAAACATCAAATCGATTCGATACAATTCCATTTAATTAATTCTAGTCTAATATTAGCCACATTCTATATGATCCATAATCAATGGAATATATTTATTTTGAAATTTATTTGTTACAATATTTTAAGTGCCGACTTCTTGGGATCGTTGGGATTGTTATAAGCTGAAATCCGTTGATTAACAATAAGAAATTGCCACGATAACGATCTAATTATTAATTGTAAACGGATCTATTCTCAATAGGAATAGTACATACAGCCTAATGGGCCACGCATTCATCGATGTGTCGCATGTGATTGTTTATTATCACTATCGTCTCTCGATCCCTTTACCCAGTCCTCCCTCCTACACCCTCTTGCCATATTCACTTACTACTCAATCCTTATCACGGCGAGTCAAAAGCCCTGCGTTTTTTACGACTAAATTCATACGATTAATTTTTTTTTGTCGCTATCATTGCAAAATGATATTATTCTATGTAGATAAAATGCCCATCTCATTACGATAGTTTCAATTATTACATAACGACATCAGTAGCGAGATATATATATATATATATATATTATTAGAATATCATGACTTTTCCTTTTAAAATCTTTGGCACTATGGTGTATCAGCTTAAACGCAGCCTTATGTTACACGACAAATTTAATGTTAGGAATGAGCTTGGAGAGTCTCGGAGAGTCGCGGCTATTATTATTATTATTATTATTATTATTATTATTATTATTATTATTATTATTATTATTATTATTATTATTATTATTATTATTATTATTATGCAAGGAAGTGAAATTTCTAATCTATCGTATGGTTAATTACTCTTTGGCACGCGCACATCCTCAATGATGAGCTAAATATCAGCCAAATAATAATAATAATAAACATTTTTACCTATGAGATCGAAACATCGACGCGATAACTTGAAAGAAATGTAATTTCAATAATGGAAAGATGTATCTTTAGAAATGACATTTGAGGAATAATTTTGGTAAATCGTTAGCAGAGAAAAAAGGCGTCTCAAAATCATCGTTATCAATGATATATTGAATATTTACAGTATTACATATTGACGATTTAGTTCCACGGCCACATATCGCTGAGTCTAATTAAATATATATTTATTCATTTCATATGAGAATGCAGAGATAAATTTATTGTATTAAAAATATGACAAAGCACGTATTTTTTTTTTTTTTTTTTTGTTGATCTCTTATGCCAATGAAGTAACATTAGACGTACGTAATCCTTTAAGTAAAGCTATTTAAAGTAGGAAAATCCAATCCCAGTATATGACGGAAATGTAAATTTAATGTACTTTGCAATTGTGTCGGAGGTGTGTCGCAACACAGCGATATCGTTGTCATTCTGAATTTAACGAGTAATGATTGGCATCGCATCCACAGATATTTCGAGCTACAATACCTGCACGTATAGCACATTTATACAGGTATGCGTTTTATTACAGGCGACATGTGTTTTTTCAGAGAATTATATTTGACTTTTTTGTTTCCATGGATGAATTCAGATCGACGAATGCTGCCCCATGTCGGACGAATGTCGGATGAAAAAAAGATCGTGATGAGAATAGTAGAATAGTAAGGATATGGTCGAGGCGAGGTTGCAATGAAATACAAAGAAAAATGCGCTCATGGTTAGTGATTTAGTGAAGGGCTAGAAAGTAATAAAAACATGTCTTGTTAATGTTCGAAAATATTTTAGATTCATCCTGTGACTCGCGATAGAAATAAGCCGGTTGAAAAAGTACGTTAAAAAATGGTAAATTTATAGTTTATTCAGTCTAATAACGGCAATGATTGAATAATGCTTTCAAAAATACTATTTTCCATTTACCTTGAAAACAGCGTTATTTTGAATATAATTATCGTCGAGCGGATTATTTGTTGCTTTAAATTTCGATCGAACTGATAGAGGAACAAGGAATGACGATTGTGCTTTTACAATATTTACAACATTGATAAATTATAACGCTGATACAAGTTTATCATATTTATTTATGCTTTCGTTAAATAAAAAAGTCAATAAAAATAATTGCAAAAATAAAACAGATAATCATTAGATTTGTTAATTTTATTTTGCAAAAAAAGTTCCTTAATTGGAATAAAGTTGGATTATTTGATAATTAAAAATCAAACACGTTATTCTTTATCGATTGTATTTAAGGAGTACAGTGTTTTTTTTTTTTTTTTTTTTTTTTTTTTTTTTTTTAAATCTTTGCAAAGCAGTATTTTATTCCTCGCGATATACAGTATGAGGTTTGTGAAAATAAATTGTGCAATTTTGTATTTATAAGACTATATTGTGTCGAAAATTTTGAGCGCGACGATAATTCAAGCCTTGGCAATTAAAAATTTGATTAACACAGAATCTATTTAATTATTAACGGAAATATTGTTTTTTTTCTTTTTTTTTTTTTTGGTATTTATTTAGTTTTGCTTAAAGTTCGCTTTTAATGTGCATTGTTAGCGGAATTATCGGAAAATCGAATAATTATTAAGCGATTTACTTAAAATTTCACACAACATATAATCATCGTATAGCAGTAATAATTCTCACAACACTGTAAATAAAAACAACCCTTTTTCCTTTCATAAACACTCGAATACAAGATATACGTGAAACAATATCACTAGCAATAATCAAATTGTTCATTGATCGATCAACTAGCTATTTAAAAAAGATGAAAAAGAAAGAGAAAGAATTTATTCCGTGGGTATAATCGCACACGTATTTCTCGATAAATTTTTTTTTCACTTACCGACCAGCTACAATGACACTACTAGGGGTTGTTTCAACATCCGTAAGGGGGTGCCATACGTCGTATGTCGGTTTGGCACTAGGCACTACCCCCACCATCTACCAACTTGGCCAAGCTTGGACCTCTCAGAATTTAGCGCGCGCCTCGTCTCGGCGTTTCAAGTTGCATTTTGGATGCGACCGAATGCACATCGGCTAGTTGGCGTGGTGGCGTCAAGTATCGCAAGTACTTAATAGAAGCTTTTAAAGCCACGTGGTATCGCGCGTGTTCGGTTCTTACGAACTGCTTTGCAATTTGATAAAAGCAAGTGTGTTGGTTCTCAGTGGTCTCAGTTCTCATTAATTTCGTTGATTTATCCAGCGGAGTTTATAGCGGAGTGCTGGCATTTTATCGAGTATCATTCTTTTCTTCGACTTATCGGTAAGTTTTAGTTACTATACGTACGAGACGATGCCTGCTGGTTGCTTGAATTTACGTTGCTGAATTTTCTTTAACGATGCATTATAATTTTTGCTTGAATTATAATTCGATGGATTAATATTAACGAAATTACTAATGGCAATAGTCTTAAATATCATTGGCGTGAAGCGATTCATATAGGGGAAAGCGTGTTTTTCATTTCAACCGCTAATTCGGTAAATTTGCCAAGTGTATGCCATAATAATAATAATAATAATAATAATAATAATAATAATAATAATGATAATAATAATAATATATTTTTATTGAGTATTCTACTATATACATATATATATATTTATATCAATTACATTGTAAAATATTATGAAATACCAGGAAATATATTAATACAAAGTAAGACTTGGGCTTCTTGCCAAACAAAATTATGTATTAAAAAATATTAAAAAAAAAATATTATTAATTATTGAATTAATTATAAATTGATGTTATAAATGCTTTAATTAATTATTTATTTATTTATTTATTTTTATTTATTTTTTTTTTTTTATACATATTTAAATAATTCTTCATATAATACTTTCATTAACAAATTTGCTTAGGGAATTTTTCTTAATCGTTGCTTAATGAATTACCATTATTGTTTAATTTAATTTTACTTTTTGCGTAAATTTCACTACATCTCCCCTTCAATTGAACGATTAGAAAATGTTAAATCCGTGTTTTAAAGCTTAATACTTCTAATAAGACTATCGTCGATATCTGTACATTATTATTTTTAATAATTGGTGAAAAATTGCAATGTATTATGATTACAAATTCATTAAATTATACATATTCATTGGGCTTCTAATGGAACACCTTTAAATAATTTTCATAAGCCGAGAATGATATGTCACAATCAACCATTAGAAATGCGAAATTATTTGATAAACAATATTGGTAATTGGAATAAAGTTATAAATAACTTACAAATGATAGGCACTACAGTTCGGTTGAAAAATTGCATTTCAATTATATTATTAAATCTTTTAGCCCGTTTATTAAACGCATTATTTGTTTGATACTAAAATGAAATTAATGCTCAGTTTGAAATGAAATCATTTAAAGCGGATGAGAAGAAGTTGTGTTTATCGGCTATATAATACATTTATGGAGTGCGTATCCATATATTTGTACTCTGCGGCTCACTGAATTTCAGACACAGTTTGCTGTGATTTCAATATTAGAATCCGCCAACTCATAATGTTTCGCTTAGAGAATAGCCAAATAAATACACGTATTAAGTATATAAACTACCTAACCATTCAAACAAAGAGGAGAATAAATGTAAAATGTAGTGAAAATGTTGTTCGGTAGTATGGCTATGGCTCACTCACAATCATCACGCACCTGCAATTATATTATGTACAATGTATTTTATATATATTTTATATGCTTCTTCTTTATCTGTTGCATATAATTTTATAAAGTACAATTTCATTTTAGCAAATTTTATAATTA